CAACTCCCACAAGAGAAGAGGTAGCTGTATGTATGTTTCAACTAAGACATTAAATTCCACAAGTTTTGCCTGCCTCTTTAGTCATCTGATTAATTTTGACTTAAATTTTATATGTGTTAAGTTATACACGTAGGCAAATGAGTTCACAAATATCCTAATTCACAAAGGCCTTCTTTTTTGGTGACAAAACTTATCTGAACTTTGCTTGAAAAATTTACATAAATATACTATAATTAAGAAAATATTTACCATTTATAGCAATAATATTTTTTTACTTTATTACTTTTAATACATATTACCTGGAACAATTTATATTTATCGCAATATTACTTTTATTAAAAATAACTTTCTATTTCTTTTTAGTCGTTTGACATATGGCAGCTCGCATCCAACACTAGCTTGATCTTATAGTGACCTTTGTAAGGGGTCAATACATCTTTCACAAATACAAAGTAATAGAACTAACTCCCGCAAAGTTTAGGTGCATAGTTAGAACTTCAAGACGAGTTTGAGGGTATTATCCCTTTTTTGTAACAAAAGTTGCATTGAATATCAATATATGTGAATGATAGTGTTATACAGATCCACATCTTCAAAACTATCTGTTGTATTTAAACATCTTGACACAGATACACACGTCGGAACATTCTTACAGTGAGACAGTAATGCTAATATCAGAATCTCAGCAACTTTGCACATAAAACCTATGTTGCTCGGACTCTTCAAAAATGTGTGTTGGATCCTACCAAAGTGATGCATTTTTAGCGGATCCAACATGGTTGTGGTAGCATTTTTGGAGAGTTTGAACAACATAAATAAGACCAGTGCATATTATCTAGTGAGATAGTAAACCACCAGGAAAAGAACCACAAACGAGGCCACGAGTGTAAACATCCTTCGGCTTGATTTTGTCTCAAATACCTGAAGGGAATGGAAGAGGCTTAAAACCAGCAACATACATATCAAAGGATAAATGAAAAAAAGGTCATGTAATGTAAAATACATTACCATCTTAAACTTATCCATGGTTCCAGATAAAACACCTCTTGAAGAATCCATATCATTGCCCTGAATAGGCATACCAGGAATTTATTTAACGATTATTCATATTGCAAAAGGCATGAAGCATAACGTAAGTTGTTCTGTTAAGACAACTGACCATTCTGTCGAGCATCCGATTATGAGTATCCACTTCCTCATGTATGTCACCTGACAACTGTTGGATATAAAGCATTGTAAGAACTAAAACAATAAAGTTAACAAGTTCAACATGCTCATTATCAACTTCACTTGCAAGCTGTTTCACTTGATGTACACAAGAACAGTTAATGATGAAACTATTAAGTTGCACTAAAAGAGGAGAACAGCTTTTACAACCTATGAACAATCACAGATTATTACTCATGATCAAGATAACTCGATGAAGAAATCAGGAGCCTCTTAGCACCAGCTTTTAGAGATTCGCGTGATTATCTATCCTTTCCTTCTGAGTGATAACACGAAAAAGAATGATTTCTAAGAGCATGTGCTCGAGGTGACAAATTCTGGATCCTACTTATTTTCCCAACAGTGTTCTTGACAGAGCAAGACCTTCGACACCCAAAGGCATTAATCATTTATGCATGAACAAAATGGAGGGTAGTGTCGGTGTGTATGTGTATTTACAAATAGTCATCAATTTACTAAAGCAACAGCCTCCAATAATGAAAGAGTAGTTATAGGTTATCCCATCTCAACTAGTTGGCTTCATAAGGTTTGCACCATTGTAATGCCCTTGACACCCATGACCAAGATATATACTTCAGTAAAGACAACCAAGGAATTTCTGTACTGCAACTTACCCATAAACATTGAACATATAAAAGACTCAGGTATGAAAGACTTACTTTTTTGAGAAAACTAACTCTATCTTGCAGCCCATCAATTGCCCTCTCATTCTCTTGTTCATCAATTTCGTGCGAAGAGTATGATGACGAAGCCCTTATGCCACCTTCCTCAATTCCATCAAATAGAGCAGCTCTATTGCCACGTTCCCTGAATTCAATTATTATCAATGTATTCCAATAAAGCTGGATGCAAAAAAGATTATTCTTTTATAAACTACACATCATAAAAAACAGCTCTGGTACTGAGAAGGTTTCCCACCCTCACATTCATATGAAGAACAGGCACAGAGGACAGGAGTAAGGTAAAGGTAAAAACTGGCCTGACTGACAAGGCAATATGACAGAGGAGAGGGGCCAGTTTATGCTAAATGTCAAGGTACGGTACTAAAATTGGATCAAGCCTGAAGCTGTATATTTACGTCTCATACCATTTAAAAAGAGGAAAGGGTAAGGAACAACAAGCGGACACACACAAACAGGAATTTACTTATAATACATTTAAGAGGCTTTAGAACATAGATTTTCCGGAAATTGAGGTTGAACAAATGATAGTTAGCACCAAAAAAAGCATAAGTAGGATAAGCTAAACCAACCCAATCTTATATTAATGACACATTCTAAGACTCTTTTCCACCTCAATAAACTAGCACGTTTACTATGGTCGGACAATAATCTGAGAAAGTAAAAATTAAAGGGGATCACTACACCTACTCCAGCTAAACAGGGAAAAAATATCAAAAAGAAAATAAGGTTGCAAAGAGTGACATAATGTCCCTAGTAGATGAAGTCAAAACTCATGACGATTATATGCAAAGATAGAAAATTGTTCACCAGCTCAAGCTAGCAATATAACACAAATATATCATTATAAGTCAATTACACCTCAATCCTAGAAGATCATATGAATCCTCCGTGTCCATTTTGCGTCTGTTTCGGTCCTCAATGCTGCACAGTTTGTCTTATAAGCTAATTGAGGGTTCTCTAAAGCTAGAATTTTTCTAAATCTCACACTTATTCAAGTATCTAACTAGATCAAGAGAACTCAGAATAACACCACGAAAGTACCGCTATAAGATTAGAAAAGAAGTCACCAAATCCATCTTGAAAATTCTAAAGGCTTATGGCATTGCTTTTTTCTTCTAATTGATAACTGAGTAATTCATTGTTTCCAATTCAAGTTAGTGGATAGCAGGTCAGTCCCTCTAACATTCTCCACTCAAATACCAGACTTATTCACCGGAACTCGAGGCATGTGCTTATCACACATCCAGTGTACTACCTTTGCCATCCGGAAGCAAAACATATGGCAATACTACTACTACTAAGGGTATTAATATGAACAAATTATATCTGCAAATGTCAACATCCAAAGCAAATATTCAAGTATTAGGGCAGATTGTCCGCTGATGCACGAAAAATACCTAATAAGAACATAAAAAAATTCATATTAAATGTACGAACCTTCGTGAATTCATATCTGCCAATGATCAATCTATTCAATTTGAAACTCCGGTTGATGTGAATTTTTTTCCGGTGGATCAGGAATCACTAATCCTCAAGTTAATCGCAAAAATAGATCAAAATATTCTGTCCGATACAAAGCAAAAAAATTGGCCAAAAAATTCAGATAAAATGGACGATCAATTGAAAATTCGTGAATCTATAAAATCCTAGAGTTATAATGTTACGGATCGATCGAAAATTCGCGTGCTAACCGTGAAAATGACAAAATCCGATTGGAAATTATGGAAACGAAAGATATATAGATGCGCCGGAGAGTGTACCTGGAGCTGAATAACAACGCCGGTGGCGGCGGCGGCGGAGAGGAGTAGCACTAGGAGGTGAAAGGGCCGGAGAAGAAACTACTGACACTATAAATACCTAGCTGATTACAGAAATTGACATTTTATTTTATTTTTGGATAAATTAGTTGAAACAGTATTTCATTTAATGCCACGTAAAAATACTTCTCTCTTAAGTGTCTGATGGAATAATTATGTACTTGATTCGAATATCATGATTATTAAAAAAAAGTTATAATTTATTCTATGCATCCAAAATAAGGAAATCACTTGTTCGATGATTCATATTTGAGTTAGATAGACCAGCTTAAGAATCAATCATTTCACCATGTTCTTGAATTTATTTGATAGAAGGGAGTTGCTCGGATAATAAATACCCAAAATTAGATGGTATGTAAAAGATTTTATAGTGTAATGTGTAAGTTTGAAAAAATTGGACAGCACGTAAAAGATTTTATAATGTAACATGTGTTTGGTACGTGAAAAATATGTTATATATATTATTATTATTTTATGTTTGATTGGTCAAAATTTTGAACAATTTCTTTCAGTAAAAACAAGTTCATTAAAAAAAATTAATATATAAATGCTACTACTGCATTTTTACTCATCCTTCGACTGTTCGACACACTCAACCCCGGACCCCGACCTCGATCCCCACCCACCTTCATATATTGTAACATACCAGTGAATTCCCACAAAGTGGGATCTAAAGATGATAGAGTGTACATAAACTTTACTACTATTTCGTGGAGATAAAAAACTTTTTCCAAAAATACTCAACTCAAATATATCAAGTACAAGTAAAAGAATAAGAAAACAATGGAGAAACAATAACAAAAAAAATAATGTGAATCAGAGACCAAAATGTTTGCCTAAATTTTATATACATACTTTTGAAACAATACTTTCTATTTTACTTCAACTTCTCTTGATTGAACTTTTTCATGACAACCACCATACCTTGTTGATAAGAGGAACAAACATAAAATGACATCAAGGTTTCATTTGGTTTATACAAAGTGCTACATAATTCATTGCTCAGAAGTAAAAAGAATTCACCTCAAAATCAATCAAATCAACATTCAGTATAGAAAAAAAAATATATATTATTACCAAATTCTCATTCCAAGAAAAGCAGCATGGCTATATACAAGCAAAGTGTTCTCCAATACACAGTAAGATATTGAGACAGTCTTCACTAACAAACTTATTGTAGCTCTAATTGCTAGCTAAACCAGTTAAAATGACATTAAACTATACTAAATAGCAAAATGTTGCAGTCACATGCTGCAGAGAGGATCAATGTATGGAAATAATTTAGTTAGCCAAACTATCATTTACAACTCCACTTGGAAAACTCGGGGCCAAATTCAGATCCCATTGCCATTGATTTCTTACTTTGCTTCGGCAATCCTTGTGCGTATTGAATCAGCATTTGATACCTTGCTAACACTGCAATGAAAACACAAATTATCACGTCAAGTCCCTAAGAAACATCATATAATACTTAAAGGTAGTCAAACAGAGGCAGGTTCAAGATTTGAACTTCTTAGCAAGAATCTAAGCTTACCACAAGAGAAGATCCCCACTAGATGACAGCTTTTCATGGATCCATTCAGGAGCTATTTCTTGCAATAACCGGAGTAGCTCTTCAAATTCTCCTGCAAAGAAAGAAGAAAAATGTTTCGAGTCAGAATCAGCTTCAAATTGTCAAAGCACTCCATGTATTCAAATGATTATCAACTAGGCTTACTTTTATCAGCAATAGCTAGATGGCTCGAAATCACTTTGTGTGTAAGCTCTTCTTTAGTAATCACATATCGGTTAATTGAGTGAAATAGGAAGTAAATCATGTCGAAAAACTTAGGCAAGATCGAAATCATTTTCTTGCGCCATTTTGCTTGGGATATGGCTGGATCTAGCTCCTCTAGTGCCTCCTGCTCTTTTGCCCTTATCTGCAGATCCAAGAAAAATTAGCCATTAACTTCAAATACTAGACTAAGAAATATAGATATCCTAACTCCTCTCAGCCTTAAGGATCAACTTTTATATTGTTAACAAGGAAATGTTGTCGTGGAAGAAAGTTTGTTTTGTGTCTTACTGACTGCAGAAGATTCTCTGGAAGAATGTCAAAGATTTCATCATCTGTTGATGATTCTCTGCTCCAGCTGGTTTCTTCTGTAACTTTTGAACTCTTTACAGGAGTATTAAAGGTCAATGACCTACTAGGAGGGGGGCGCCTCACTAGCTTTCTTGGTGATTCAGTTGACTCGCCATCTGGAGTCATATAGCATCTCTTGGAAGGTTGGAGCAAAGGTGTAGAACTCATCAATTTTGCTGGAGTAGATGCAAGTTTTGCTGGAGTACTTTCAGCACTTAACAAACACGAACCATCTTCACTTTTTGTGTTTTTTAATGGAGTTGCTGGTAGAGGAGATGGTGGTAAAGTAGCAGAATGAACCCCTTGTGTTGAGAATCTTGTGGTCCTAGTTTGTGTCAAAAGCAATTTAGAGGTGTTGGTGGGACAATTGGTAATCTGGGGTTCTGACACTGGAGGAATTGAAGTTTGAGAAACTGTTGTTTGTTGCTTTACGTTCTCTACTACACCGATAGACGCTCGATGAGAAAAGGATCGCCTGAAAGATTGAGACAGATGAGATACAGCTACTGGCGGCTTCTGCATTGAGCCAATTGGTGTCTCCTCCTTTAACTGTGCACCAGCAGGACTTGATGTGTTCGTCAAGAGCTCTTGCTTAGACGCACCAAACGCTCCTGGTAGTTCTTCCTCAGGAATGTCATTTCCCTGAAATTCAAAAATAGCATTTGTTATCACCAGTTTTTCAAGAAACGCAAAGGCAATATCTGAAAATAACCTATTATTTTCACCTTCTTATAGAGGAGTTCGGGGAGCAAAGGAGGAAGAAAAGGGATATCCCTACACTAAATTATTTTCAATCAACACAAGAATTAAATCTATAAATACTAAATTATAGTCTCACAGAGCTAGCTTAACATCTCAAACTACTCTGATAATTGCAAGACAACATAAGATTTAAGGCGACAAATCCTAAATACACCAAACACGTCTCACTTGGGCCTAACAAATCTACATATCATTGCAAAGCAACTCTCCATTGTCAAAATTTGCACAAGTAAAGTATGTCTAGCAGAGCTAACTTAACATCCCAAACTATGCTAATGATTTCAATCAACACAGATTTAAGTCTATAAATTCCAAGTATCATTGCAAAGTAATTTTTCCAATTGTCAAAACTTGCACAAGTTAAATCCCTCTTTTACCTCAGGGTGGGATTTAAAGAAATCCAAAATCCGATTGCTGAAGACTGTCCTCAGTTGTTCGGTGCCACGCGAGGATTTCAGCTTCTTATCTCCTTCAACTCCATTAGGATTCAACGTAATATGAAGATCAGGCTTCATACAGGTTGTCCTTTCATCGAACACAAGCATCTTCTTTATCTCGATAGCCTCAGGTAAAAGAAACTTCAGTTGTGCTAAGTGGTTGTAAGTAAACCTCCTGCACAATCAACAGAGAAATCACACAATTTATCAATATAATCCATAGAGAAAACATCTGTAAATGCATACACGAATCATCATTTGTATACCTATCTGTTAGACACTCCACCTTTGCACTAATATTTGTAAATGTTGCCGAAGAACCCTTCAACTGCAGCAATCGAATCGAACTCACCAAGCCACCAAAGAATTCCTCCAACAATTTGTACCTACACAATAACACTAATTTTAGTTCCAGAAAAAACAAAACAAAAAACATTCCGAATTTGTTTTTCTTGTGTTCATTTCTTCATATTTTAAAATTAGGGATTCGAAAATGAATATTTCAACTTTTAGTATACAGATTTTTTTGAATCCGTTGTTCATTTTGCTTAAAAAATTCTAGATCTGTCTCCTTTCCAATAACAAATAGATCCACATCATGTAAAATCCAAAATAAAAACTTACTTCTCTGGTAGCTTTACTGGATTTACAGGCTTCTTCGGTTTAGCTGCTGAAGCTTCTTCCATTTGTGTTTTCACAGAGCTCAATGATGTATCAGTCTGGGAATTCGGGCGGGTCGGGTCAGGTTTCCGGAGCTTCTGTGCGGCCTGTCGGATATCTTTCAATGAAAACGCAGCATTCCGATTCCGAGTCCGGCGAGGAGGAACGATTGTCTTCTCAGGGGTTTTGGAGCTCCATGGATCTAGAGACGGAGCTCCGGATGCATCCGGGTCGGATACAATCTGAAGTTTCTTCTTCGATTTGAATGTATTCAACAGTGAAGAAGAAGCATCTGTAGACTCCATTGATTGCAAAAATGAACAAAAACACGAATTGATGAGAAGTTGCAGAGAGCAATGGAGGGTGAAAGTGAAGCGACGAGGTGGGTGTAGGGAGTGGGGGGTGGGGTACTGTTATATGGTAGCATTTTTCTGGCGGGAAAGCTGAGGTGGAGGCTGACGTGTCAGTTCTGCCATGTCAGAATTGGCGCCAATTGCCGGGAAAACTGATGTGGAGTCTGATGTGTCTACATTGCCACGTAGGATTTGGCGCGAAATTTTTCTTAAAGGTGAGAAAGGCCCATGGGCCTTGTGAAGTTTTGGATTGTTGTAACTTTTTAATTTGGTGTGTTACCGTTACAATTATATTTTATAATTAGTTCTCTTTTTATATTGTATGTAGCTTAATTAGATTTACTAAAGTATTATATGTTGTGGAATTGGTAATAAAATAATGAGATAACGGTCACTAAAACATATGAAAGTATCACATTTTGTGAGTTTCATATTTAAATAATCAAGATGTTTGCGTTTCTTAAAATATATATATTGTTCGAAGCTAAAACTAGACCAAGTGTTTGAATAGAATTGTCGAAAGACGTGTGACAACTTAATTTGCCCATGAAGTTTCATTCACATGACATCTGGTTCATTAGTTTTTAGGTGTGTTTTGATAAATAATTAATGATAGTTCAAGTAGAAAACACAAATAAATACATTATATTTTTATGTATGAAAGTAGCAAAAAAAATTGATACTTAAAGAGTGTTTTTACTATTACTTTTAAATATTGTTTTAAAAATTTTCAACTTATTCCTTTAATTATCCGTGTGGAGTATCATTTAGCATCATTTTTAAATAAAAAAAAGAGAATGTACACCATGGCCATTAGATACTAGTCAAGATATGTTTTGATAAATAGTTAGTAATAGTTTAGGTAGAAAACACAAAAATTTGATAGTTCAAATAGTAAATTTACAAAAATGTGATACTTTGAATGTATTTTTAACCATTAACTCTAAATAAATGAAAGAGAAAATATATCAAATCATCCTTAAAATTGATAGCTATACTTACTTTAACACTTTAACAACAACTTAGCTTATTTACCCCCCTCCCCACACAATCTTATTTGAACTTGCCCAAAAAATAATGTATTATGCATGTTTCTCTAGCACAGAGAAATTGTGAAAATGATCAATATTTTTATCTTTGAGTTGAATGATGAAATTAAAAAAAGATACTAATCAAAGCTAATAAAAGAATTAACTAAATAGGAACAATGTTCACCATTCTCAAAATGTTTTTTTTAGTTTTGTTTTATAATCTTATATAACTCAAACATATTATCTGATATTTTTACCATTCCACTACACTCAAGCATGAACTAATCCCATGTCCATGTATCTCGATTGAGATTCCCGTAAATGGGATTTTCCGTCGAAATGTATTGTTCTATTAACTTTTACGGGTTGTTCAAATGTGTTAGAGTGGGTAAAAATCTCACATTGATTGAAAAATGGATTGATGGTTTTCTTATATGAACTTGGGCAATCCTCCCCTCAAGAGCTAGCTTTTGAGTTTGAGTTAGGGTCATGTGTTATATATATCCTTACATGATCTGCATACATCCTATTTTTCCCGAACCCGCCTTGTGGGAATGTACTGATGATTAATAGGATGACGGATATAATAGGAAAATGCATGTCTGGAAATGGATCCAAATGCACGTGCAAATATGAAGTATGTCTTTGTCCAATTTAGTGAAGGGAGTAGTAGGGGCTAAGCGGAAATTCAAGGCGTTGAGTTAACGTTAGTTAGCATTGGAAATCAGTAGATTATTGTACCTGACTTGTTTACTATCACCAAAGATGTTTAAAATGATGTTTTCTATTCCTCTTTGATAATAATGTATATAGGGGGTACTGAATGGAGTTCATTAGTAATGATGAGATTATTTCTTATCCACCGTTTGATTTGGTGTATTAAGGACACTTTTTTTCTTTAACTATGCTCCATTTTATTACTAATATCATGATTTGCTATGTACTAATTAAACACTCCAAAATACATAATAGGATCTAGAGCTAATACATGTATTAGTTAGTTATATATAGGCTGATAATCCAACCAAATAAAGAATTAGTAATACAATATTAGTTCTCTAATACATCTTACCTTAAGTTAACTAACAAATATTTTCATTCTTTTTGGGTTCATGTCTCAGTTTTTCAGTGTATTGGATAAAAAGAAAAGGTGAATATCATTTTTAGATGGCTATTTATTTACACTTTTACTCTTATCTTTCGTTTTTTGCCACGTCAAAAACGTATGCAATTAAAGTTGAAAATTCGCATCTAAGTGTGGCTTTGTGAAGGCCAAACATTAGACATTTAAGCTTGAAGTGTAATATGACTTATCAAAAATATAATTAAATATATTGAGCCCCTTTTTCATCGAGATCAAAATAAATTTTTATTTATAATTGAAAGACCAAAATGTTACATTCCCTTACTTAAATTATCCACTCCCTTCTTCTTGGACACGTGGAGACTTTCTCCTTCTCTGATACCCAAAAAAAATTCCCCTTTCTACAGGGAGTGCAGATTATGCCACACATAAATACAAATGATTGCACATAAAATTGTCTCATATTTTAAGTGAAATCTTTAGCAATTTGATTAATGGGGCAACAACAATAAAAAAATGAGTTACTGTATCAACAAGTCATTGAAGGAGGTGTTGAATCTATCAAAGCTCTTCACAATGATGGTGCCAGTCTTGAGGTATATAAATTTGCGCTCATGTATCCAATTTTATTGAAAATTCTAGCTTTTTGTTAATACCCTTTTTGGAGAATGTGAAAAAGATTCAAATTTTGGGGGATGCCATGAGTTATTTTTGTCACTGGTTCAAGTCTTGGGGTGTGTTGGGCATGAAGGAAAATGTTTTCTGTAAAATAAGTTTTCATACTTATTTTCTTGTGTTTGGTGGGTAAGCATAAACTATTATTCTAATTTTGTATATAATGTAGGAGGGGAGAACACAAAGATGAGTTACTGTATCAACACCCTTTTGGGTAAATTTAAAAAAGATTCCATTTTTTTGGAGATATGATAAGTGTTTTTTTCAATGGTGAAAATGTATTTTTAGTATAGTAGATAAGTAAAATTGAACGGAGGGAGTATTTTTCAACACCCTTTCTGTAAATACAAAAAAGATTCAATTTTTAGAAGATTCCATGAGTAATTTTTGTCACTGGTGCAAGTTTTGTGGTGTGTTGGACCTGAAGGAAAATGCTTTCTACAAAATAAGTTTCCTACTTATTTTCTTGTGTTCGGTAGGTAAGCATAAACTATTATACTAAAAACATTTGCATATAATGTAGACAAATACTATAGAAGGTGGGGTGGGGATGAGGCCTATGGGGGTGGGGTGTAGATGAGGTGTGTTGGAGGGTGGGAAGAACACAAAGATGGATTACTGTATCAACACCCTTTTGGGTAAATTTGAAAAAGATTCCAGTTTTTTTGGAGATATCAAAAGTAATTTTTTAAATGGTGAAAATGTATTTTTAGTATAGCGGATAAGTAGAAGTGAACAGAGGGAGTATTTTTCAACGCCCTTTCTGTAAATACTTAAAAAGATCCAGTTTTTAAAAGATGCCATGAGTAATTTTTATTCCTGGTGCAAGTCTTGAGGTATCCAAATTCACCCATGCACCGAAAAGATTAACTCTGTAGCAACATCCTTTTGGCAAACATAAAAAGAGATTCAATTACTAGGAGATGCTTGCTATAAGTAGTCTTTTACTTGTTAAAAAAGGTAGCAATCTTTTGACTGGCTTAAGTCTGGATACACAAGTTCACCAATGCACGAATTTACTTGAAGCATTTTACTCTATATCAACATTCAACACCCTTTCGGTGAATATACAAAAGATTCAGCTTTTAGGAGATGATATAAGTAATCCTTTTACTGGTACAAGTCAGTAGACTGTAGGTATACATATTCACTCATGCACCCGATTTACTCGAAGGATATAACTCTGTAGCAATACCTTTTTGGCAAATATACAAAAAAAATCAACTTTCAGGAGATGTTATAAGTAATCCTTTTACTGGTGCAAGATGTAGTACACAAGTTCTGTGCACCAATTTACTTGAAAAATTTAGCTCTACATCAACTCCCATTTTGGTGAACATAAAAGAGATTCGGCTTTTTTGGAAGGTATATGAGTATTTTGTATATATGCTAAGTGTACTTTTGTGCCCCCATTGAATTAGTGGATCGACAAAGATGGAAAGACACCATTGATTGTAGCGTGCATGAAGCCGAATGGCTTGAATGTTGCAAAAACTTTGCTTGAGCTCGGTGCTAATGTCAATGCTTACCGGCCAGGTATGCCTTTCTCTGCCAATTGCAATCTTATAATTTTGAACTCGTCAGTAGAGGCTGTTCCAGAATTTTAAGTCAGTAGGTTTGAAGGATCACGACCCTCACCGTTTTATTGTAATAGGTGCTAGTAATCTGCTTTGATTACAATGATAGTCCTTACTTTTTTCAGGATATCATGCTGGGACTGCGCTACATCATGCAGCTAAGAGAGGTCTGGATGATACTGTGCAATTGCTTCTTTCCTATGGAGGTGCATATTCAAAGTTTTGCGAAGTGAACATGGTTTCTCCTTTTGCTCTGTAGATGGATCCAGACTGCATTCCTGGATAATCTAGTACTCTCTCCGTCCCAATTTATGTGACAGTCCCAAAAAGATGACACCTTTCTATATATTTGGTCCAATTTAACTTTAAGATCTCATTTTAACCCTAATGAGATGATTTATAGCCACACCAAATATCGATCACTTATTTTAGATCATGAGTTTCAAAATATTTTTCTTTCTTAAACTCTGTACGGTCAAACACCAACAAATAAATTCACCATCACATAAATTGGGACGGAGGGCGTATCATTTTTGCATAGTTTTCAGCTGCTTAATGTATGTAGATAATTTACTATGAACCTCATTTACTAGCAAATCCAATTATCAAGAACGATGCTTGCCAAACTCCACTTGAAGTAGCTCGAGCAAAAG